GAATTTACATAGTGGGTTTTGTTTCTTTACTTCAAATCATAAACCATTTTTATCATGTGCCTAGAAAATGAGTAATTAGGTAGTAAATTACTTGTCTTCCAGGAGAGAAAATGTTTAGTTTTCTCATATGGCATTCCTCTATGAATAAACCAAATGAAAGCCTTTTTATATGACTATCAAAAGAATGAACTGAGAAGAAGTACAATGATTTAAACTTCATTAATTCTGAATTTTTGATAGGTGAGCTAAAGTTTACTAGTGTTATATAGGAAATTACTCTGATATACTTTTTATGTGTACTAACTGACAAAGTCTCCCAGAAGCTTTGCAACAAAAAGACCCACAGATCATGTTAAAATACTGGAATTAAGAGTTGTTAAATCAGTTTTAAAATATATAGCAACAAGTAAGGGGATTAAGAGAATGAGAAGACAGGCCACTGACTGGAAGAAAGTGTTTGCAAAAGTACATATCTGATTGATTAAAGACTGTTATCGAAAATATACAAAGAACTCTTAAAACTCAACAATAAGAAAACAAACAACTGATTTAAAAATGGTCCTGAGGGCACCTGGGTGGCTCAGTTGGTTAAGCGACTGCCTTCGGCTCAGGTCACGATCCTGGAGTCCCGGGATCGAGTCCCACATCAGGCTCCCTGCTCAGCGAGGAACCTGCTTCTCCCTCTGGCCCTCCTCTCTCTCTCTCTCTCTGTCAAAATAAATAAATCTTAAAAAAAAAAATGATCTTGAAGAGACATCTCATCAGAGAAGATTTATAGGGGAGCCTGGGTGGCTCAGTCGTTAAGCGTCTGCCTTCGGCTCAGGTCATGATTCCAGGGTCCTGGGATCGAGCCCCACATCGGGCTCTCTGCTCGGCGGGAAACCTGCTCCCTCTCCCGCTCCCCCTGCTTGTGTTCCCTCTCTCGCTGTGTCTCTCTCTGTCAAATAAATAAATACAATCTTTAAAAAAAAAGAAAGATTTATAGATGGCAAACATGCATGTGAAAAGATGTTCAACATCAGATGTCATTAGAGAATTACAAATTTATTTATTTTTTAAGATTTTATTTATTTGAGAGAAAGAGAGTGCCCAAGAGGGGGTAGGGTCAGAGGGAGAAGCAGACTCCCCACTGAGCTGGGAGCCTGATGCGGGAGTCCATCCTGGGACTCCAGGATCATGACCTGAGCCAAAGGCAGTTGATTAACCAAATGAGCCACCCAGGCGCCCCAAGAGAATTGCAAATTTAAATAAGGAAATACCACTACATACCTACTAGAGTGGGGGCAAGAATCCCAAAATGCTAATAACACCAAATGCAGACAAGGATACTGAGCAAAAGGAACTCTGATTCATTGCTGGTAGGAAAGTGAAGTGGGTGTAGACAGACACTTTGGAAGACGGTTTGGCAGTTTCTTACAAAACTTGAACACTCTTACCATATAATGCAGCAGTTGTCCTCCTTGGTATTTACTCACATGAGTTGAAAACATGTTCATACAAAAACCTGTCCCTGGATGTTTACAGCAGCTTTATTTATAGTTACCAAAACTTGAAAGCAACCAGGGTGTCCTTCAGTAGGTGAATGGATAAAATATGGTACATCCAGACAATGGAATATTATACGAAACCATGAAGAGATGTAGAGGAACCTTAAATGCATGTTACTAAATGAAAGAAGCTGGGGTGCCTTGGTGGCTTAGTCGGTTAAACATCTGCCTTTGGCTCAGGATTGAGCCCTGAGTCGGGCTCCCTGCTGAGCAGGGAGTCTGCTTCTCCCTCTCCCTCTGCCCCTGCCCCCAACTCCTGGCCCCCCCATCCTCTTTCTTTCTTTCTCTCAAACAAATAAAATCTTTAAAAAATAAAGTAAGAAAGAAAATCTATTATAAACTTTGTAAAGAGAGGCCCCTGGCTGGCTCAGTTGGTAGAGCATGTGACTCTTGATCTTGGGGACATGAGTTCAAGCTCCAAGCTGGATGTTGAGCTTACTTTTTAAAAAAAGATAGATAGATAGATAGGTAGATAGATAGATAGATAGATATAAAATTTTGAAAAGAAAGAAGGGGAAGGGTATGAAGTTGATGAACACATTCAGGATATGGTACGGTTGCGATGAAAGGATCATAATTCTGAGACTTACCAAGTTCTTTTGTCCTGTCTATGCCACTCAGCTTTCCCTGCTGATAATATAACTGTAAGGACCAGAGTTGGATATGAGCCTGGGAACTCAGCCAAGGGAAGGGGGCTGGAATCAATACATGCTTATTTTTGCAGGAGTAAGTAATCCTGGCCACAAGTATTATTTGCCAAAGACTTGCTGAGCAGCCATGCCTTTCATCTTTTACATTTTTGGCAGAGGTTGTATAAGGCCATAATGGGAATCACCAATGAATGACCATTTAGGGGTGACATCTGAGCTTAATGATTAGATTTACTTGGTGTTTCCGTATATTCTCTTTCTCTCTGTTCTTTTTTGTGTGTCTACTGTGTCACCCTGGGTGCTTGCTGTCTATACTAACCACATCTTACGAGTTTTGTGTTTCCCATTTGTTGTTGTTAGCTAGAACAGAATTAGATATTATCCAAAAAATACAACATAACATTTATAGCTATTTATTATGTCATATACCTCCTACCCATAAGTAAAATTCTTACATAACAATGATTTTAGCCTCTAATACACTTTTGACAAATGTTGAAAACTCTTAGTTCTTAAATGATTTAGAATTTCAAAACAAATATTTTTTCAAATTAAAGCCCTGACAGATTTGAAAGTGTACCTACAATGTGTTATACCCTGGAATCCTATATAAATAAATACCCGTTGCATAAATGCTTTCTTTCTGAGATATTACTGCATTATAAAGTAGCTCATTCCATTACTGGACAGCTAAAATTGTTACAAAGCTTTTCCTAACATTGGACCAAAATATGGTTCTATGTAACTTCCATTAGTGGACCTAGTTTATTTTTTAGGCACCAGTTCTTAGATCCGTTGGATCAGGGACTCCTTTGAAAATCTAAAAGAAACTATCAATAACCCTTTTTCCAGGGGGGAAAAAATGCTTATATTCACAAATTTTTATAAATAATTTCAAGGACTTTCTGGACTCCATGAAGGCTTTCGCTTTTCTTTCTTGCTTGCTTTTCTTTTCTTTTCTTTTTTTTTAACCCAGGTTACGATCCTCTGCTCTAGAACACAGTATGTTAATTTTTTCCTATATATTAAAGTATAGTAAAGACCCTAGGCTAAACATTTCCAATTCCTTTAACCAGTATTAATATGACTTGATTATAGACAGAACTTCCACTATCCAGATCACCTGTTTTTGTTTATATTCTATTTTTTTTAAAGATTTTATTTATTTATTTGAGAGAGAGAATGAGAGACAGAGAGCACGAGAGGGAAGAGGGTCAGAGGGAGAAGCAGACTCCCCGCTGAGCGGGGAGCCCGATATGGGACTCGATCCCGGGACTCCAGGATCATGACCTGAGCCGAAGGCAGTTGCTTAACCAACTGAGCCACGCAGGCGCCCCTGTTTTTGTTTATATTCTAATGTGAATGTCTTTCTGAATGGGATGCCTTTAATTTTCATGTGAAGTGATCTCAATATATTGAGACTGTTACTTAACATATTTGGAACACTCTATAATAGCATTTTTAGCATTCACACCGCAGTACATTCTTGCCTCATAATGAATTTCTGTTTAGCCTCATCTTTACATCATCCAAAATCTCTGGGACAATGCTTAACACTTTGTAGATGTTCCAGTGAATATTTGTAGACTGAATAAAACTTCCTAATCCTTTTTTGCATCCAAAGCTGCCGAGCAAGTTTTACCACATATTATACTAATGTGTGCTTGTGAGGGATGGGGTGGGAGTGTGTGTTGCACCATACTTAAGTAGTAGCTTTTTGGAAGCTAAAACTAGAGATTTAACATTTACTCTTGTTAAATTTCATTGTGTAAGAGCAGTTCCTTTGTTATCTAGATAAGTACCAGGGAAAATAAAATATTGGTAATTCTTACTTTCCTATATATAATACCATGCAGAGTGAGTAGGTAGCACCTTATAGGTGCTTCACAAATGTTCGTTAAGTAATGAATAAAAAATGTCCATGAACTTGTAGTTATCAAAGCGGGTACTTGGAGAGTTTGATTCACAAGCAGTAAATGTTTTATGCTTTATATATCAAAATGAGTAACATTTTGAAGGTATTTTTTGAAAGATGAGCACCTTAATTATAATGTCATGTGTACTTTCTAATTCTAGATGTCAGGATAGGACACTTAACCTTAGTCTCCACCCCTACCCCACACCCCAAAATAGCTACAATTGATAAATGTGATAGAAATGTTCATGGTGTAATTTTGGGCCTTCAGCTCCTTGGGCCACAGTCTTGAGCCAAGTCATTCTGAATTAATAGTTCATGTGACCTGGGAAATTTTTTTTTGCTTCACAGGCAATTTTAATCAGCTTTGAAATCTTTTGTTGAATGATTAACTGTACTTCTGGCTCTTCATATCTTCTCTTGAGGCACTTCCTCTTTGTTCCTCCTACTATGAGTAGAAAGTTAGGGAACAGCAATGATTGGAAACCTCATCTTTTTTAAGCATCAAGAGGAAACTACCTTTGTGGTTATTTGTTTACTGTTTGGGCTATGTTTTCTCTTTCTGTGTAATCTAGGGAAGCAGCATTGCCACTTTCTAAGCCTGCTGCTTTAACTGCTTGATATTTTTAGGAAGGGAAGGCTTCTTTAAATAGTTATCTCTCTGCATAATTTGAAAGAGTTTAGCCTCTGCTAGCCTTAGGTTACTTGAATCTGAAAACCTGATGAGTGAAATTGATCTCTGCATGGCTCAAATATCCCCACATTGAGAAGGAACAGCTTTCCAATGTAAGCTATTTAAAGATCCTGTGCTTCCTGAGAAAGTAGGAGGTTAAGTTAGCAAACTGACAAGGAGACTGATCTGATCTATCAAGAGAATGTCTGAGACCTGGCCTGGGGCATTCTATCCTGAGATATAGTCACTGTTGGCCAGGTGTTCTCAACCACGATTCGTGGTTCCCAAAGCTGACAGAACCTCAGATTTAACTCAGCATTTTAGAACTAAGGATTCCTGGGCTTGTCCTGTGTTCTCTTATGTGATGTTCAGTCAGGTGCAGGCATAAGAGGAAACCATAGGAGAGGCACAGGAAAACAAAGTTTATTATACTCATAGGTGCTAGAGAGATAAAGTCACTTTCTGCCAGAAGGGAGTAGGTTCAACCAAGTAGGTGTGTAGCCAAGGGGAGAATACAAGGACCTGTGGGTTAGTGCCTTTGTTGGTGTGTCAGGTTGGAGTACACAAGAAAAGGAGCCAAGGGGATTTCATTGGTGTGTTTGAATGTTGTTACTAGGTCACAGTCAGGGGAGGGCAGGAAGGAGAACTTGTGGGCCAGGGGCCAACCTTATCATCCTGGTGCACCTGGTCACCTGGGTAGGATAATTAGAGCTTGTTTGTGGGGATGTTGAGGCAGCAGGGGAAAGATTTAAAAAATGAAGTTTTAAAAATATTTACAAGTACAGTACCCCATCTTCAGAGTTTCTGTTTCAGTAGCTCATTAGTGTTAAAGCTTAGAAATGTATATTCTAAGATTCTCTGGATGATCTTGGAAACCCCTGAAATTGTGATGCAAAATTATGTTTTTCATGTTTCTGAGGGAGCTGTAGCTTTCATCAGACTCTGAGAGTTCCTTGACTCCAAAAAGGTTAAGAACACTTGCTTTGGGGCACTTGGGTGGCTCAGTCGGTTAAGTGTCCGACTCTTGATTTCAGCTCAGGTCATGATCCTCAGGGTGGTGAGATTGAGCCTCGCCTCCATGCTGAGCTTGGATCCTGCTTAAGATTCTCTCTCCTTTTCCCTCTGCCTTTCTCTCTCTGTCTCTCTCATTTAAAAAACAAAAAGCAATTGCGTTAAATCACTGGGTCTCAAATTTTACAGTGCTTCAGAATTACTCAAAAACTTGTTACAACACAGATTGCTGGACCCCACCCCTGGAATTTCTAATTCGGGTAGTGTAGGGTGGAGCCTGATAATGTGTGTTTTTAACTAGTTGCTTGTTACTGCTGATGCTGTTGGACAAGGGGCTACCCATTGAGAACCACTATTCTAGGACTTTGCTAACACCACTCTGTGCCTTCAACATCAAGCTCTGGAAGCAAAGGGAACCTTTCAGAATTTCTAACCAATTAATACAGTAATAAACAATGTGCCATAACAAAGCTCCATCTAGTGTACCACTGTAAGAGAATGGTAAAGAAAACTCCTTTCTGGCAAAGGAAGTGGCAATGGAAAGTATACAGGCATTTTTAGTTGACCCACTCATTGATGAACCGGTTTCATAAACAATTGCTTTTCTATGTAGCATTTTTTCCTATGAGAGTAGAAAACTTCATAGTTCCATGACCACTTAAGCTGTTTTTTTCTTTAAATAATGTAACTTTTGGGGCACCTGGGTGGCTCAGTCGTTAAACATCTGCCTTTGGCTCAGGTCATGATCCCAGAGTCCTTGGATTAAGCCCCGCATCGGGCTCCCTGCTCGGCGGGTAGCCTGCTTCTCCCTCTCCCACTCCCCCTGTTTGTGTTCCCTCTCTTGCTGTGTCCCTCTGTCAAATAAATAAAAATCTTTAAAAAAAAATAAATAAATCATGTAACTTTTAAAGTATGCTCAAGGTGCCGGGTGGCTCCTTGGGTTAAGCATCTGACTTTGGCCCAGGTCTTGATTTCACAGTCTTGGGATCAAGCCCTGAGTTGGGCTTCCCACTCAGTAGGGAGTTTGCTTGTCCCCCTTCCCCTCTCCCCCACTCATGTGCAGGCACATGTTCTCTCTCTCAAATAAATAAATAAAATCTTTCAAAAAAGTAAAAATAAAGTGTGCTCCTGTTCTCCATGGCCAAGTAGAATATAGTTCAAAGTTAAAACTTTGAAATATAAATTGACCTAAATGTGACAGGAAGCCAGGAAGTATAATCCTAAGGAATCCTGAAATTAGGATAACTTGTTGTACTTTAAGAATCTCCTGTAGCAGGTGGTTAGGTTATCAGTACAGTGAAGCTTTCAAATCCCCAAGGAAAAAGCAACTGTTTGAAAAGCTATAAAGCACTACTAAATCCACAGGAGTTCCAAAGTTTATTTGAGCAGACTGCTTCCAGGCTGTCTGAAACCTTGAAGGAAACTAAGATCCTGGAAGGAATCTTGATTATCCATGAAGAGTCTAATTTTGAAACTTTCTTCTCTCTACAGACATAAACTTACACAAGGCTTCTGGGCATCATTAGGTGGCCTCAACATTTTCTTCCCAGTTAGTCTTGGGATTTTTTGTAGCCTCATCCTTTAGAGGGAGAGTCCTCAGTGAAACAGGAACTGACCTGAAATAAGAAGACTTAGAGCTTTAGAGGGGAGGGACTTTGTTTAAAGGAAGTATATCAAAATCATATTAGTGGTTATTGACATGAAATTACATCTTCTCTGTACTCATTTGCAATATAACTTTTGTTGCAATTTTAGAATATGTGCTACCAAAGTGAGCACATAATAATAACTTTCAATTATACTACAACATGTCATAAAAGAAGAAAAGTTCTTTTTAAATGAATCATTAATTTGTTGATAATTGAAAGAAAACACTTCAGTATGAAAGTCTTTATATAAAGTTTTCTCTTTCATTTTAGTTTTTTTAATTTGCATCACAGTATTTTGATATATCATGACTGTCAAAATGGTGGCATAAATTAACAATAATTAAAGAAATATGGTTGAAACTTGGGTAATTTTGGGGCACCCGGGTGGCTCAGTCGGTTAAGTGGCTGCCTTCTGCTCCGGTCATGATCCCAGGGAGTTGGCATCAAGCCCTGCATCAGGCTCTCTGCTTAGTGGGGAGTCTGCTTGTCCCTCTCCCTCGCCCCTTACCCCCAGCTTGTGCTCTCGCTTGCGTTCTCTCTCTCTCAAATAAATAAATAAAATCTTTAAAAAAATAAAAGACACTTGGATAATTTTGATATTAACCATATTTTAAATCTAAGTGGTACTTAGCATACATGATCATCACCACCTAAAAAGCAATAATTTTTTAAATAAGTAAAATAATTACCGTATCATACTTAATGGAAATTGTGAATCCCCCTATTAGTTGAAAAATTCAGCTTCCAGATTGTTGCTGACATCATCAGAGTTTTTGACAAACAAGGAGGTAATGGGGAAATAATTGTAGAGCCTTGTTAACTTGTGCTGCATAAGAAACAGATGTTTGCCAGACGGAAATGAACAAAACCAGTAAAGAAATAGATATTCTCTTCAGGTTTCCAAAAGTACAAACAGTGAAAATGATTAAGAAAAATTGGAAAATACACATTCTTAAATTAGTTTTAGAACAAAAAGTCCAGGAAATCAGTTATTTGCAAACATATTAGTATATATACCTTACTTTCTGAGGATGGTATACTTGTCAGGATTCAAGACTGTAAGACATATTTTCTTTTAGCTTAACTTTGAATTTCTTCTGTGATTTTTGATTCTTGTAACACATGTTTTGCATTTATGGTTGGGTTGATTTAATTCTGTAATATTTCTAATTCCCACAAAACTACATTTGCTTTTTTATCCTAAGAGATAAAGGATCTGTGGATGACAGAAATACCATACGACAGAAGTCTCCTATGTAGTTTTATTTCTGCCCAATGGTACAAACCTTGGTTAATTTATTCTGATATGGGAGAAGTTACTTTTTACTTTTAATTCTGCCACCTTATCTGAATAATACATGAACATTCAGCAGGATTCCTTTTATGCTTTCGTAAATGCAAAGGTAGAAGCAGTGTTTATGAAAAGTTTGATTTAATCTTCCTTAACTTTGTTTATAAACATGAAGTAAATGGCTTGAAGAAGACAGTATTAGAATCTTAGAATTTGAAAGAATCTCTAATATTTTAAAAATCACTCCTTGCCAAAGCCAGAAAGGGGATCCTTCAATGACAGACTTGTCAGATGTTCATCCAGATTTTTAATTGCTTCTAGTTATTGGACGCTCAGTACTTCATGAGTAAATCGGATTTGATATGGTAATGTTTAATTATGAGAAGTTTTTTAATTCTTTGTGCTGAGCTAGAATTGGCCTTTGAAATTTTACTTATAAGGTCCTTTCCAAATTATCTAACACTTTAAATAATTGTAAATAATTATTTGTCCTTCTCTTCTCCAGGCCGTTCTCCATTCCTTTAAATGCTCCTAATAATCCATGATTTTTAAATGTCTTTGACACATCTCAGTTTGTAATTGTTTCTCATATTATGATTCTCCAAATTGAACAAGATATTTAGAGTTAGTATGACCAATGCAAGATCTCAAGGGACTATTGCCTCTCATTTTGAATCGTTCATTTATTAATTCGCAAATAAAGATGGCCTTCATGTGATAGTGTATAAGACAAAAGATGAAACTTAGAAGCAGTACAGGTACAGGTTAAATGTATAGGTTAAAAACAGTACTGTTATTTAGCATTTCTTTAACTAGCTTCAGATGCATCAAAAACTGTCATCCAGCGCATATTTCATTGACTTTCCTATTGCAGGTTGTCTTGATGAAAGTAACCTTTGTGTTTATTAAAATAAAATTATTTTAATTAAAATTACTCTCAGTGAGGATATTTGGCTCTTAGTAATCACTGTGTATTATTTTTTTTCATGATTCTAATTATCCATCTTGGAGTTTTGCTGGAGTTCAAGTTTACTAGCATGCAGTTTTTTTCTGAATTGCCCCTTTCCTCCTTTATAAATATCAATAAATGCCTGTCTGTAATATCTTGATAATGCCTTGATTTGTTTTTTCAAAGACTATCAGTAATGGCTCTGAATTTATATCTATCAAGTTAATATGCTAACATGTAATTTATTTGAACCCATCTAAACTTGGGTTTTTAGTTAATAAAAGCAGACGATGTTCCTGTTTTTTGTAATAAGAAAAGTGAAAAAAGGTCAATATATCCAGCACTAAGAAAATGCATAATAAAATTCAGTGCTTATTTACTTGGTTTTTATTAGGTAGCTGTTTAAAATAATGGCAATGTAATAAAATGAGTTTTAAGATACAATTTATAATCTGCTCATTTTAAATTTTTTCTTGAAATTTGGTAACAAATATACTTGTGGAAAAAAAGGGGCTGAAAGTCAAATTACTTTTTTTTTTTTTAAGATTTTATTTATTTATTTGAGACAGAGAGCACAGGCAAGGGGGTGAGGAGGGTGGAGAGAGAGGGAGAAGCAGATTCCCTGTCAAGCAGGAAACCTGATGGGAGGCTGGATCCCAGGACCTTGAGTTCATGACCTGAGCCAAAGGGAGAAGGCAGACACTTAAACTGACTGAGCCAGTTACTTCTCAACTGGCTGAGTAAATTGTTAAAACTAGGGGATCCTTTTTACCCATTTCTTTTGTTTTCCAAATTATCTCTAGTTATGTTATTTATAAGGAAAACTAATTTGGCTTTTTTTTTTTTTTAAGATTTATCTATTTATTTATTTGTTTTACAGAGACAGAAAGTAACAGAAGGAACACAAGCAGGGGGTGTGGGAGAGGGAGAAGCAGACTCCCCACTGAGCAGGGAGCCCTATGCAGGGCTCGATCCCAGGACCCTGGGATCATGACCTGAGCAGAAGGCAGACGCTTAAGGACTGACTGAGCCACCCCAGTGTCCCTAATTTGGTTTCTTAAAAAAGATCCTCTACTATCCTTTACCGTTTAGTTTATTTTTAATCTCTAGTTTACACTTGCCATATTAAAAGTAATTTCCTTGACAGAAATAGCAATAACAAAATAGTTGACTTTCCTTTTCTTTTTAACCATTAATGGTTTGTCATCTTCCCAAGTGTTCTTTTTAATGAACACAGCCTAAAAAACCCTTTCATGTTGAGTTGCTTTTTTTCCTAATCCTGCTTCTTTCTTCTTTCTGAAAGGTGACATAAGTGTTATTAAAGCATATTAAAAATGTATAAATTATTATATTTTACCTTTTTTTCCTCAGGTATATGATTTTGTAGTTTGTTCTAGACTGGTTTCATTTTCCTCCATTTTATGTTCAAAGTTTAAAGTTTTATTCAGCAGATGGCAAAACACTTTGCTCTTTGCCACCTCATGCCAGCAAGCATGAAAACAATACAGTTCTTTCACGCCATCCTAAAATGTAAAAATCATTCAGCTATGAGTTAGGAAATCCAGGTTCTAGTCCCAGGGCTTCTATAAACAAGGTTTTGGACAAGAAAATTCAGTCACTTATTCTCTTTGAGTGTCAGTTTCTTCATCTGTAAAAATTAAATTATTACTCTCTAAAGTTCCATTTCCCTTTTTAAAAGAATTATTCAGTTTTTTCTCATTCTCTTTTTTTTCCCCCTATGATATGAAGATCCACCTTTATTTTACACTGAATGCTCATACTTATCTGATGTTATTGAGGGACTTTCTAAACTATCCATTGATGACTGTTGATTCATGCTCCAGTTTCACACTGTTGTATTATTTGGATCATTGAAATGTAATGTAGTATCTGTTAGGCTAGTTCCCTATTATTGATTTTTTTTTCTCTTTTTCTTTCTTTTTAGAACTTTCCTTATTATATTTGCTTTTCCATAAAATTGATTTTTCTTTTTTTTAAAATTTATTTATTTGAGAGAGCACATAGAGGGAGAGAGAAAGGGAGAGGGAGAAGGAGGCTCCTGCTGAGCAAGGAGCCTGATGTGGGGCTTGATCCCAGGACCCTGGGAACAAGACCTGAGCCGAAGGCAGACACTTAACTGACGAGCCACCCAAGCGCCCCCCAAAAATTGATTTTTCTAGTTCCAAAATCTTATTGGTACTTTTATTGAGGTCAGATTAAAGTTATGGAATAATTTATTAAAAAATTACATTTTCATTATTGACAGAGTTTTAAAGGAAAATATCAGGTATTCAGAAATATGAGCAAGGGAAACAAAGTAAATTATCAAATATGATCACTTTATTAATGAATTTTGAGGTATTTATATATAAAGTAAGTAGTGATAGTACTTATAGTGGTTTTGGAAAGATGTGTCAATAACTTAGGAAAGGTTAAGCATTTAATTCTCTAGTCCTGTTTGGCTTTATGTGGTAGCAGGATATAAGAATGATAATGTCCTAATAATGATATAAAATACAGGTTTAAATATACAGTTTGGAGTTATTTATTTATAGAAAAAATTGGTGGGCGCCTGGGTGGCTCAGTTGGTTGAGCGACTGCCTTCGGCTCGGGTCAGGATCCTGGAGTCCCGGGATCGAGTACCACATCGGGCTCCCTGCTCGGCGGGGAGTCTGCTTCTCCCTCTGACCCTCCCCCCTCTTATGCTCACTCTCTCTCTCTCTCTCTCTCTCTCTAATAAATAAATCTTAAAACAAAAAAAAAGAAAAATTGGTTATCTTAATGGCACGCACCTGCAAACTTTTAGTGACAGAAGAGTAAATGGAACCTCATAATACTGGGAGGAAAGAAGTCTGTCTAATCGGGAGATTCTGAAAGAGAAGACATAGAGCTGAGAAACTGAGAACTACTCTAGAGTAGAGTATATGTCTTATTAGTATTAAGAAAGCCTAGAAGGAAAAAATAAAACAAAGGAAACTGAATTCAGCCATATGCTTATTGAAAAATAGAGTCTATTTGCATAAAGTGTTTTTATGTTGTTTTAGTATCCTCAGTAGTGATTTTTTCTTAGCTCAACTATATATCATTAAAATCTGCAAGGTTTAAAGAATGGACACATTCTGTTGCATTCCCCTCCTCTGATGACTGAGTGTGATATCAAAGATATAGTGAAGAAAGGAGGGAAAGGAACACTAATTCTCCAATTATTAATTGAGTTCTTAAGGTGTAATTTTTTATTTCTATGATAATTGGAGTATCTGTTTCCTACTAAAAGTGTAGAATGTATGCTAGGGTAGGAATTTGGTTGTTTTTCCTCACCATTGTATCCCCAGGCCAAGCATAGCGCCTGGTACATAAAAGACATCTCATACCTGTTGGTTGAATGAATGTGCTGCAAACTTGAAGGAGGTAAGAAAGTTTTAAAGATTCCTGTCATCTGGAAATCCTTGTAGAACTCATAGTGTATTCAAAGTAGGAAACAGTGCTACACAATGTTTGCAGTCCCTGGAGGTTCTGCACAGATTCATTTTTGTGAAGAAGTTAATCCTTTGGACATTACCACAATACAGTAGTTAATATGTTTGATTGTGTATTTTCATAGATTACAAGAGCATATTGAAAAAATATTTTCCTGAATCTAGTTAGCCTTCACATAGGGCCATATCACGTTGAAATCCTCTGAACTACTATTGTTCATCCTCTTTTCTTAACTTTATGTCTACAAAAATATTTACAGTCCTAGGCCATTGAACTTAGAGGTTTTTGGGTTTTTTTGTAAAATCTATATACTTGGAGAAATCACTTGTTTCTTTAGGTTTCTATATCTTTAAAGATGAATTTCTTTCTTTTATGGCCCAAGATAAATGGAACCAAAATGCTCATTTATTTTAACTCTTAATTGCACATGTAAGGTTCTTATATTATTGGAAGAAACAGATTTTCTTTAGCTAGCCATACCGTGTTGCTTTCCTTTTAGCCTCTGTTTACTTTCTCACCTCTGTTGATTTATTCAGCTTGTAACCTAGAAACCAGCTAAAAAGGAAGGAAGTCAGAGATGTGTATTTCTGGGCAGTAACTGGAGTAGTTTCCTCTTCCTCTAGCCTGGTTTAGCTGCCAGAAAAGACTTTTTACCCCCTACCCTCACCCAACCCAACCCCCCCCCGCCAATAAAAAGAAAGAGAAAGGGAAAGAAAAGAAAAATTAACAGTAACTATTCAACTTGCTTCCTTAATCCATTAAATTATAAGCCATAAAAACAACCAATCTAAAGGACTAAAATTCTGCTCTCAAAATGGTGCTTTTTGCTGTCTGAAAGGTGGTATCTACCATCCCTAAGGAGTTGTAAGAACAAGAGAGAACAAGCTTGATGTAAAAGCTGAGCAACTTATTATGCTTACTACCAAGTGGGTTCTCTATATTGTTATTTCACTGTTTTTATTTGTATTAGGAATTTACCAGAGTACCAGACCAGACTCACATTCATATATTTTTAAAATTTTTTAGAAATATTTTAAAAGTATTTGTGAAGCTCAATTTATGAAATAAATATTAAAAAGGTATTTATGGCTTTCAACTAGTTCCATCTTTGTGCTCTCCTCATTTTCATTAAGAATTGACCATATAAGTATTTCTTTTTTATTTTAATAATTTAATTTAATTTAATTGAGAGAGAGAGAGAACACAAGGGAGTAGCAGAGGGAGAAGGAGAATCAGGCTCCCCCCTTGTGCTGGGAGCCAGCCATGGGGCTTGATCCCAGGAGCCTGGGATCATGACCTGACCTGAAAGCAGACACTTAACCTACTGAGCCACCCAGGTGCCCCTATATAGTATTTCTTTATAATAATGGAGAAGAATTTTAATTCAACCATGATATAGTATGAAATAAAAATGAGTGTTTTTTCTTTATTGATATTACTTATTTTGATTTTTAAAAAATTACTGCATTCTGTGTCACTAGGAATACATAAATATTGTGGCATTTGGATTGTTAGCTAAGTGTAGTTCTATTTGCTGTTTGATTCTGTAGGGGACTGATAGTACTTAGGAACAAAGACAGCTGTTTTTAAGTGTATATCATAGTCATACTTGAATTTATGTGAGCTTGTAAGATGAATCTGGTGAAATATTAAACTCATTCTCTAATGTACAATAAATTATAGAAATGTAGTGTGGAATGTACTGAAAATGTGCTGTTTCCTAATATAATAGCCTGCATCAAGCATTTGATGTTTCTTTGTTTTCTTTGTTGTTTGGGGGTTAAAATAAAGCTGCCATATTGATCCAGTTGTTTTTTCTTTTGTATATTATATGACATTGTGAATACTTTTGTTTCCTTATATGTTTTACATTCATGTCGGAAGTGATTATGAATGAATTACTGAAATGTGTATGATGTAATATTCACTTGAGTTACTATTTTTAAAAATATTTGTTCTAAAGTTACATTTTAGTACCATCAGTGTTCTAAAGCTATATCTTACTAACATTCTTAGAATAATCATTATCCATCTCTTTCATCCTTAAAACAAACAAAAAGATTGAGATTTTTGTAGATACAGTCCATCATACACTAAAGTTGAAAATATCTTTTCAGTGGTTACCCTGATGTTTCTGTGAAATGAAACTGATACATCTGGAATAGGTACAGAGAGACAGGGCATTGGCTGGTGGCTAGAAGTTTTTCTCTGAAATGATTTGATGAATTGGTTGTGTATGTGATATTAAACAAATTTTTAGGTTTATTAAAATTGAGATTCTGCATTCAGTCATATTTGTAAAAGACCACATCATTTAAAAATAGGTAAATGTTTTCTTACACTTACAGATATCTAGCATTGTTTTTTCATATTCAGTGCATATATTATACATACAACACACATTTAAATCTAGACTAATCTCATTTCAGGTGCTCAGTACCCATGTGTAGCTAGTGGCCACCATATTAGACAGCACAGCTCTTGAGATTAGAAAGAAGTTACAAGCCTATGTTAGGTAACACATCCCAGAAAAATACATTTTATGCTCTCAAATTATGATTTTTTTATAACTGAATTGTGTAGATTAAATTTTTTTAAAGAATAAAATTGTTTCAGGAGTATTTTTTTAAATCTGCCAAAATAAATATCACCAGTTTTTCTTTTGAGTAAAGTGTTGTGGTTATGTCATTTCATTTCATTTGGACTGTTACTCCAAAAATGCTTTTAAGTGTTTTTTTCTGAGTTTTTTTTAATGTCAGTATATTTTTAAGGACAAATGATTAAACTAAAATAAGGACTTTAAAGCACACAAAGTATTTTCAATAGTTGGAAGTTATGCTTCATTTTTGCCAACTTGAGAGATATTTACGTAATATTTTTTTTCTGCACTTTCTCACCTTGGTAAATCTGGAAAGCAAAAACTTTGTATTTGCATTTGCTTTATTGAAAGAGACAGTAAACTTGAGGTCTCAGTCTCACCACTAGTCTGTCTTTGTCTGTTGTTAAAATTATGAGCCAGTCTCTATGGCCGCAGCCAAATGAGTAATCACCAGTAATGTGACTCGTGCTGGAAGTGACTCCATCAGCACCTGTGACGGGGGATTAGTTACAGTTTACAGAGCACCGCCTCTTCCCTTCTCTCAGTGTGCCCTAAGCCAAGTAGTCTTTCTCATTTGGGTGTCTGCTCTGTTGGAAGCTACTGCAGTGTGTTTCCACGCAGACAGAGTACAGTGGGGAAGGCTTTCTCTAGCTGATGGATGGCTGTTCTCTCTATTTGGAGTATCTCACTGGTTATGTAAGCGACCTCGGGAGAAATTATCCTGACCCAGATCGGAGGATGCAGTAGTGCTTCAGCTGCAGGATTTCTTAGTCGTTAACACCACAGTGCTGATGACAAAGAGCGAGTTGTAATCCTCATCACTGCCAGGCTGAGCCAGAGCAGACAGAAAATCGTCATTTGCTCGTCGGAGACTTGTTAGGTTACAGCTCTGCTTCGTTTTGTGGTCTTGGCTTTTCTTCCTATACAATGACGACGCTGCAAGTGAGCTCAGAAATGCTTGGTTTGAGAGCCATTTGCCTGTGATTTTTGAAGACTAAAGAAGTATTTAGGCTAGATAAAAAATACTGCTCAAGAGTGAAATGGAAATGTCAGCTACTTCTTGACCTTTAAAGCTGTGTCGTGGATTTCTGAGATTTTAAGATACTTTAAAATTCTAAAGAACAAAGTACGGTTTGTATTTTTCTGCTTCCTTTTTCTTTTGTCTTAATTTACATTTGGTTTTACTTCTCAGCCTTAGGAATTAAGGTCACTGCCTTTTATTGATCTAGCCTTAGTGTTCTTAGTTTTAAGAAATTTTAACTCTTTTCATTTGTTCAGAAAGGATTGTGTGTGTAGTAATTTCCTAACACTGTAAAAAGATTAAAAACTAGAGTTTAATTGTTTAAAGTATTACAGCAGAAATGTTTCAGATTAGGGTTTTTAGAATATAGTGTTTTAAGGGAAGTGGGGGTATTTGTTTTGTGAGGGTTTTTTTGTGTGGTGTATTCCAGTCCCCACCCCCAACTTGTTTTCTAACAGTATCGTGTTTTTCAATAGACCTGCTTGGGTGGGAATTTGGACTTTGTTCTTTCAAGTCACTCCAGTCTTTTTTTTTTTTTTTCCCCGTAGACTAAACCTTGACTTCTAAAATGTTGCTTAGTTTTCTGCTTCAGTATTTTCCTTTAGTGAATTTTATATCAGATTTTTGTAGTTAATGAGCATGATTTTTTTTTTTTAAGTTGGAAAAGGAATTGTTAAATGTTAACTGGAGATTGTTAGAAACTCAGACTGCAGACATAAACTCCATGAATTCTCAGTTAAATGTTAAATGTGAGCTTTAACATGGTTTGTTTGAGCAGCTGAGTTATGTTTGAGAGCTGTAGCTGATTTATTTTAAAAAATGTTTTTTTGTGGAGGGCTCATCTGTTCTCCTCTTCCTCATGTGAATGGAATGTGGTGCAGCATGGAGCCCCAAACAGGATACAGTTGTTCTAAGCATTCTTCCTATAGCGTGGTGTAGGCCCTACTAGAAATTCAGGCTCTCAACTATTTATTTTGGCTTTAGACTATTTTTAAAGTACGGTCAGACAAAGGACCTTGAAGGAACTCTTAATCCATTAATAAAATTGAAAAAGTTTTTTTTCAATTATGAATATCAATTTTAAATTAGTAATTTTTATTTGAATTTTCACAAAGGCTATTTTCAGCATTGGAATAATAGTCTTTTTGTGACTGGGGCCATATTCTGTGACTTTCATCAGATGGTAGCTCATTGCTTCCCCTTAGGCTGTGGAAGTTCCTCATAGAATGATGTATCTTTAGTGTCTTGAATTACTTAGTTATGCATGAGTTCTACTTTCTTTACATTCCAGTACACCTAGACCCATGAAATATTTACTACAGATTCATCATAAAAGCTGTAGGATCTGTTCACTCTTATTTAAATATTTATGTTTTTATTTTTAAGTTAATAATAGCTCTTTGAAATGTGTTCAACTTGGATACAAATATGAATAATGGTTATATCGTTGATTTGCCACTTTAGAAAATCAATATGTGTTTTAAGTACTTAGTTTCATATGTTCTTTGTCTTTAATTTTCCATAAAGTAGTAATAATCACACATTTTCAGGGTTGTTTATTTAATACATATTGAAACATTTCTTTAACAAGTACTGTAGAAGTATTTATAAGCTCTTGCTGGGAACATATTTGTAGCTTAAATATAATTGCACATTAAAATTTGCACATTGGGCCCTATTTGCTATTTTAAGAAGCATGATATACTCTTGACCTCCATTTGTACATGGTTATAAGTATTATTCTATCAGAAATAGCCTTTTATAAACTAACCTTTAACATTTCTGATAGCTAAATTCTCCTGGTGGCTTTCAATGAGTTATCTTAAAATGAGAAATTCTTATTTTAGCCTAGAAACTAAACTAACTCAGTAATTTAAATTATGATTAGTTCGCTTGTTAAAATTTACCCTTAGAACTCTGATCTACCTTAAAAAGCAGAGTTCTGAGAGGATTTCTTCACAAGAACGTTTTTCATATTATAAAATGACTAGGTCTCATAGGAAATGCAAACCACCTGTATTATTTGCGTAAGAAAGAGGCACTCAGACAGGAGTTTACTTCTTTTTCAAATCCTACTTAATTGAATTGTACCTTTAGCCACTTAGATAATAGCTTTTGTGGACCTTTTTGTTAACCTTCACGAGTTGACCTGACATGGTACTATTTGAAAAGAAATAGATCATTTGAATAAAGTTCAAGGATTAAATCAAATCTTGAAAAGGTGCCAGTGTTTTCTAGTTTACTAAAAACTAAACAAATATATAATATGAAGAATATTACATATATCATGTCAATCACATACTGGTAGACATTTTAAAGTCTAAATTAGATAAATGATCTTGAAAACTTGAGTCACTTGTTAGGTAAAATAATAATATTTTATGAAATAATTTTAGGAATTTAGTCTTGGCAAAGTGGAAAATTCTAGTTTGCAGTAATTGCAAGAGATAGCTAAGTAATGGGGGAATGTCTGTTTTGAAAATGTAATTTCTCACCCAAATAAGAGTACTCCTGATACATATGTAGTACTTAAAAGGTTAGCCTTAGGACTAGGGAGGGAGGAACTTCCTGTGGTTAGATTTTTCTAATCATAAATATTGAAAATAAGTGGGGATGTAAGAGAATTTTTTCATGTTATATTTAGGAAAGAAGATACTATTTTTAAGTTCATGGTAGAGTATAGAAATAAGGCATGTTTAAAATGCTTCTCTATTCTCATGTGTTTAGCTTTTTTAAAAACAGTTACAGATTCCTCAATAAATCGAAAGCTTTAAAAGGAATTTCTTAAATACAGAAATTAACTCCTTAAGAGCCACTCTGCACTAAAGAGCTTGAAAAGTTTTTACCCAGAGTACATTATTAGTTGTGATTAGCAAGATGTTAGATTTCTTTAAGACATAGTAAATGAAGGGGGAAACACAATGGCTTTGAATCTCCTGGGGATTTGTACTGTCCCTGCCAAAACAAAAGCTTTGGTTTGTATCCAAATGGTCACACAAGTTGGCTTGTAGCAAGAAAGATTTCTCCGTGTTATATAGGTAATTTATAAAATAAGTTGGTTTTTAATTCCATTTTCCAAACTTTGATTCTTAAGTTCTTAGAAAAATACCAGGGACGTGACACTTGCTTTTTATTCAAGCTGCTTCTGCTTCGAAAGTGTGACAGTAATTAAAAACTGCATACATTGTACCTTTGTTTCCTTCCTTCCTCTTCCTCTTCTGCCTCTCTCACTCCCACCCCACCCCAAGATATGGGTATATACTCCTTTATGTAAAAGATGAGGGAGTCTTCTTTAAAATAATCAAATGGCCATGGATCCCCACCTCCCAGCGCCCATTTTTGGTTTGTCTCTTCATTTGATTTTTAAAGTAGCAGAGATCTGTACTGAGAGGTGGGTTTTGTGTAATACTTCATACCTCCCTCTTTTCCTGTTCCCTTCCCCCATGCTGTTCTTACTGAAGCAGCTGGATTTTTATTTGTGCTTGGGGCAGGGACGGGGGTGGGTAGTGCACGGGGTGGAGTTAAAAGACCAGATGCATCCTGATCATTTAAAATCCTTGATGTGAATGAGCTAGCAAAAAAGTAGTTCTGTGAACTATATCTGATCTGTTTTTATAAAGATTAATACTTAATAATTTTTTAAAAAAGAGTTGGGGTAAATATGCTCCCCTACCCAGTTGACTTTTTCAGAAGCAATTTCTTTTATTATCTTAGAAATTTTTATACACATGTATATTTGATTCTCTTTTTTAAAATAAACAACTTATAGATCTACTTCATTCCTTTTTAAAATAAAATATTTTATTGTATGGATAAAAGCATTTAGATTATAATATGAAAATATTAATTGGTACTCCAAAATCGCTATGATAATGACATTTATACATTGTATTCAAATAATACCTTTCGTATTTGAGTATAAAACCCGGAAAATAACCATTATGAATTTTTTTTTTCTCTTACCAGACTTTCAAACCCCTGGTTGAAAAAAGCATACCCAGTTCAATCACTGCGGTAGAATTCCTTGTAGATAAACAACTGGATTTTTTAACTGAAGATAGTGCCTTTCAGCCCTACCAGGTAAGAAATTTTAGGTTGCTTTTAAGTTAGCTAATCTTTAAACTTCAGTGACATTCAGATATTCTTTTAAATATTCAGTTCAAGCTAACATCTAGGTGTTCAAGGAACCCAGTGCATTCAATAGTTTTTGATTATAGGATAAATGGTTAATTTATCCAATCAACAGATTTATGTACTGAGAACTTTCTATGAACTAGGCAGCATTTTGTACTGGGAATACACAAGTGAGCAAAATTAAGTAACTGCCATTATAAATACTGTTCATCATTAGGAAATAACTGGTTAGATATTAGTATAAATTACCTTTGTCTCCAGCTCTAAAGGTTAAGAATTGGGTCATTTAATGTAATTAAATGAGATTAGTGTTTACTGTATGCATACAATAATAGTATTTCATTTTTCTTTTTAAGTGGGAAGTTTCTTTTAGATTGTCGTTAATTGTTCATTTTCTAAATTTTAGTTCCCAGATGCAGTTTAAGTACAAATACATTTAATTGGAAAAATATTTTCTAGTAGGCTTTTAGATTTAAATCCTGTGAAGAAACTCATCAAAAATAGTAAGCTAAATGAATTTTTAAATTTCTAGTGAAGTTCTATCGGTTAATTTTTTAAGGTAGAAGTAAAAATGCACAGAAGTTTGTTTTCTTTGTATATTTGGATTTCAGATTGAGTTAAATGTCATACATTTTTTACCTGTGTTTAAAATAATATGGTAATTGCATTGAAAGAAAGAATGAGTGAAATAGTTTGACTTTAATGGAGCTGAAAGTCAGTACTCCAATTTAATTTCAGAATAGTTACTGTTTTCCGAAAATAAAATATAGAGGCATCGTTTCCATGGAAAGAACAAGAGCTTGAGTTAATGAGCAATGATTTGTTGTGTGTGGACTTATAATACTTAGGGAATTAGAGCAGTTATGTGCCTCTTCTGCTAGATCTACCAAAATGATATGATAGTTCTCTGAGTTAAATGTTATTTTGAAGTCTACATAGATGTGCTTTTGTCCTTTCACATTATTTTTCTTATTTCATTAAATGGCCTAGTTTTTGTACTGTTAGCTTTTGTTCTTTCTTTACAGTATTTATAGCTAAAAATTCATAGCAAGTCCCAGTTTAATATTGAAGGTGTTAGAGCTTTTCCCTGGGGTTTTATTTTGTTTTGTTTTTAATTGTGAATGCCATTTAGCTTACTATAGGCCTTATTATAATTTGTTTCATTTCTAACAGTGTTTTAGTGGGAATTAGACTGGGTGAGTCTAGGTAAAATCAAAGGAACCTTCCAACCCTTAATGTTTTAATTTTGTGGTTGCTGATTAGCAGCACTCTGGAAGTTTCAGCTTGGATTTGATTTAGAGAAGTGAAATCATTATGTAGAAATTACTTTTTAAAAATAAACTCTTTTGCCAGGTGGCCTAAAACTTCACAACATGTTTATTAAAATTATAATGATTGAAAGAATGTGCTAACATTTTACTGGGTGTTTTGTTTTGTTTTACATTTTAAGCTTTTAGATTCTGATAGTTTTGTCATTTTATTTAAAAAATAAAGGCACAAGAGCTAAAGTCTTATTTGATTTTTAAATTGTATGATTGTCTTTGTTAGTAAGCCATTTGTATTGCTCAGTTAGTAAAGGCAGGTTGATGTCTGGCCTGAAAACTATTCTATCTTCTAAAGGTGAAGTGATTGTCTTGACATTTTAACCATTTGTCTTTCACAAATGTGAGCTCTCAATTCTAGAAAATCAGAAGGAATTACACTAACAGCACTTGATTTAGGGAGCCAGCATACCTTAATTTTAGAATTTCTTAGGAGTTTCAAAAGTAATTAGATGGTTTGCAACAGAGCTTTTTAATATGTATTTTAATATATTTAGTTTCATATTAAGTTAGAAAAATATAAGGATATTTTCTCTAGTATGTAAATGATAGACACCTATTGTAACATTTTGAATGAAAATGTACTCCAGAGACCTAAGATGCCTCAGTCTAGTTTTTCAAATTTATTTATTTAAATGAGTTTATGAAATACAGCTACATTCTTGATAAAGGAAACAATTTTAGAGTTCATGTAATTAGAGTGGCTTTATCCCAGAATGCTTTTCTGTAACCACTTGTCCAAACAGTACATTAAATTCCTTGGCATCTTAAACATGGCAGCTGTTACTGGCATAGATTTTGTAAATAGTGTCTTGACATATCTCAACTTTAGGGTAACCCTATGTAAGTCAAAGGGAGTTCAGGGAAAATTGAACACATTTTTTAAATGCTCTCCCTGTTTTTTCTCACTTCTTTAAATTTCATGAGGCAATTTCTTCTGAATCTAGATGTTAATTATCCTTTGTAGACTTCTTAAGTGTGATGGGGGAAAGCAGCTTTCTTCTTTAGAAATGGCCTTTGTGTATAGAGTGATGGGTACACATAACTTTTGTTTTAAAAATTCAGACAAATGCTTTACTATGAATCTAAGAAAATGTTTTTCTAGTGGGAATTCCCACCTACCATCTTTCTCCTTGGTTCTCAGCAGTTCTGTAGTAGTACACTCCCTTTAATTTCCTTAATAAAGTTGTACAGCCCTATTTTTTAATATATCCAAATAGTATATTGTTAAGGTAATGGTTAGGAAACCATTGACTCAGGAATTAATACAGATCATTTCACTTTTAGGTCACTGCTTTGAATCCTACACTTAACCTCTGATTTCAATGCATTGAATAACAAATGCCATGTATTAAACTTGATCTGATCACTTTTTTAGGTGGCATGTAGTTGGGAAATTGGGGTGCGATCATCATTGTTACAGTTTTCAGTATTTTGGAAGGAAAGTTGAATGAGGAGAAAAGCCAAACCAACATTTTATAGATAAAATAATCAATGTATATTAATTAGGTCACTGAAGCCGCTTGGTTATTGTTAATTCTGTTTTTTCCTTCCTTATGCACACAAATGAGTTTCTGCTTCCTCCTTTTAGATTTCCTGATCATGCCTGGCTGTAGTTAACTTTCTTTGAAGTAGAGGGGGAAGGGAAAAGAGAGGAAGTAGGTGGGAACTTTGCAGATTCTACTGTGTCTTTCAACTGACTGGGAAGAAAGAGGGAAAATAAAACAACAAATTATTGATTCTGAAAGATGGCTTTTATAGTTTGCAGTTTTCTTAATTACTATGATTTTTGTGGTATTGTTTCTTTTCTTTGGAGCACGATTGCAGAAATTTTTTAAAAAACTTTTCATTAAAACTTGAAGTTTTGATCAAGTTAATACAAAAAACAGTTTGGTAATGAAATATGAACATTGAACTTTTAGCATGATTTTGAAATCATCTTGTTCTGAATTTTGGCTTCTGGCCATGCACACACCTGCAGTTTTCAGGTTGGTTGCTTCATAGAGGATATAGAAGAGATTATTATTTCTTACCTGAAAATTGTACATGACTCATATCAACAAATCTGGGTTGGTCTGGCTTGTTAGTCCAGTATTTTCTAGGGATCACAATTCTCTTTGTTTTTAAATGTAGTAGAGGGATAATACAAAGGGCACTAGTTTAAAAAACCATTAGAGACTTGAAGCAGAATGTGCTTGTTCAAACTTATGCCTTATGTTTATCTTACTGTATATTAAAATTCATTGTAGTATTGAGATATGTTCCCTGCTATAAGGTAGAATCATCCTAGACCTGAAGGAATCATCCTTTTTAAAGTTTTGGGTCATAATAAAGTGATACAAGTTTAGAGATAAGACCATTAATTCTACAGTTTGTACCATCATAGAATATAGACATTGAACTGCTTTACTAAATATTAGATATAGTACTCCTGTGCTGTGAATTGCTGGTTGAAGGAAAAGGGAACAGGTGGAACAAACCTGATTATTTTCTTAGTACCTGGACTAAAAATTGCTTAAAGACTTGAACAGAGAAGAGTCCTAAAACATTTAGTGAATGAGGGCTCCTGAGTGGCTCAGTCCTTAAGCGTCTGCCTTTGGCTCGGGTCATGATCCCAGGGTCCTGGGATTGAGCCCCACATCGGGCTCCCTGCTCCACGGGAAGCCTGCTTCTCCCTCTCCCCCTGCTTGTTTTCCCTCTCACGTGCTGTCTCTGTCAAATAAATAAATAAAATCTTCAAAAAAAAATATTTAGTGAATGAATGTGTCTGGGCTTAATCAGATCTGTGTATCTCATTTCTGTATTCCTCTGTGAGAAAGTTGTTTTCCCTGTTTCAGTCCATTTTGACCCATAAGTTTCACATCATCGATGATACAAATTTATTGGCTATGGTTTCAGAATATCCGTAAGGTAGTTGTTGCCCAACACATCTGGTGTACTAAAAATAACTCTAATGAATGCCTAGGATAAATTACCAGTAGTTTGGGAGTGAGTGTAGCAGAGACCTGTATTTTTTCCTTCTAAATTTTTGTTATTGTCCTGTGGACTTTGGAATTGCTTCACAACCAGGATGAGATAATGCAGTGTGAAGTGAAATTTAGTCCACAATCATCCAAGGTGAACAATTAACTACTGGTTTGGTTGTTACTAGCCAGATGTTATATTTTGTTGAATTAAATATTTGACATAAATGAGCCTCTGACAAAAGTTTAAAAATCTTGTTGGTAGTCATTCATTTTCTGAGCAAATTTGTTCCCCTGGGTATTATGGTGGCACCACTAATAGTTTACAGAAGGAAGTAAACAGAACTTCATGTTAGTTAGTATTGCTTTGATGGGTAGAGAAAAAACTTATTTTTTAAACTTTTCTTTATTTTCACTTGACTTTGGTGTAGATCTATCATTTTAAGACTAATATTCCTGTAGAAGAAATGGGATTTTGACTTGGTACAGGATTTATTAGTATAGTTATGTAAATGTTTCCCTGAATTCCTCTCAGATTTGTTCTCTTCCTGGTATCAAATTACTATTTCCCATTAATTTAATTAACCCAAAGAAAAAAAAATAAATTGACTTCCAGATATTGCTCAACAAACTGTTGTTGTTTTAAAGAAATAAATTAGATTTTTAAAAAATGATAACTTTATATAAAGAGATATGTTTTGGGGCGCCTGGGTGGCTTAGTCATTGAGCGTCTGCCTTCAGCTCAGGTCATGATCCCAGGGTCCTGGGATTGAGCCCCGCATTGGGCTCCTTGCTCAGCGGGAAGCCTGCTTCTCCCTCTCCCACTCCCCCTGCTTGTGTTCCTCTCTCGCTGTGTCTCTCTCTGTCAAATAAATAAAATCTTTGGGCGCCTGGGTGGCTCAGTTGGTTAAGCAACTGCCTTCGGCTTAGGTCATGATCCTGGAGTCCCAGGTTAGAGTCCCACATTGGGCTCCCTGCTCAGCAGGGAGTCAGCTTCTCCCTCTGACCCTCCTCCCTCTCATGCTCTCTGTCTCTCATTCTCTCTCTTGCAAATAAAAAAAAAATCTTAAAATAATAAATAAAATCTTTAAAAAGAGATATTTTATAGGAATTTATAGGAAACCCTAGAAGCATGCCTTTTAGGATATGAGAGTGGAACACACCTATACCCCCAACCCCCAAGAATGAGAGCTTTTGCAGTGTGGTTGAGACAGGGAGGAACGGGCCCAGAGCAGAAAAAGAGGCTAGAGCTCTTAGTTTGTGTTCCACTAATTGTTGACTCACTTGATTCTTCCCCAGAAGGGAGTCTTTAAATGGAAATTTTATGCTTAGACTCTACTTCCCTTTGACTTATGCTTAAAATTTTTTAATATCTGACCTTGGAAACATCCCAACTGACTTCATTCATTTAACGTTATTTAAATTCTGTGGTTTCCCTATGCACAGCATCCGGCTAGGTGCTTATTGGTTTAAAAAATTAATATACTAAGTCATAGTACTTTTTTCCCAAGGACTTTATAATTCAGAACAAGAACTTATATTTAAAAATAGACTTGATTTAAGGAACCAAAAATACATAGTAAAGACTAAGAATACAAAGAAAGGAGAAATCAGTAGAGATTGAAATGGTTAAAGTCTCATGAAGGAGGTAGAACTTGAATGGGATTCAATTAAATGGAGATGAAAGTGAAAGAGTAATGTGGGACATTTGGCAGGAGGGTCAGCATGATCACTCAGGAACAGAGGTATATTAAGAAATAGTAGAATAATGTAATGTATGGTGATTAACATAACATTAAAAAAGAAAGAAAGAAATAGTAGAATATCAGCTAGAGAAGAGAGTTCAACTTTGAATAGTAGACTCCATACTACATAAATAAGTATTATGGGGTCAGATAAAAGAGGAAAAGGATTGCTAAATACAGTTATTAAGTGAATTTTTTATCTTGTAGGCCAAATGAATCATTGGAAGATTTGAAGCAAGAAAATAACAAAATTTCTACATAACAGTGGCATCTGATTATTATAATACATGAGAAGCAGCTAATTGATTGGGTCTTCATTCACTAGAGTCTTTTCTTCTAAGAGAGAATCAGTATAGCATAATGGTTAAAAATATGAGTTTTGAAGTCAATTCATGCAGACATGGTTTCAAATCCATGCTATTTGCTAGC